CTAACAAACTGCTAAGCTATGTTATGAAATATACATTACAACGTATATACGCAATATTTATATGTACAAAAACTGGTGTTTGTCAGAGATTTTCAACTTCTTCCCTAGTTCTTCGTCTTCATGTCGATCTGTTTTAATGTAACCAAACAGCAATAGCACCACCAACAACAAAAACAAGGTGTAGTAAAACATAATAACATCAGTTTTCTTTTGCTGCTTTCTTGCATTACAAAAGTTCAAAAACAGTACCGACTTAGTTCTTGATTACTTTTGTAAAAAAATACAAAAGAAAAGGTTACGACTAAAATAAAATTTTGACAATAGAAAGCAACAATAGATCCCAATAGTAAAACCAAATGATTACAGCCAAGAAACCAGCACCAAATAATAACTTTTTAAGATAAAAATCCGAAAGTTCATGAAAAAAAAGCAACAAACATCTGCGATTTTCGTTGTCACTGCAGTAACGCTTGTTGGTCGCCCTCAGTGCAAAGATTGAACATTTTGATATTGCGCTGCAATAATCAGTAGTTTAAGCGCCAAATTTGAATATACCAGCAGAAGGCAATCATTCATTCCTCCACTTTCTGCGCAATGCCTTCAAATCTCCCTGGTTGCCTTATAATTGGATAAATGCAGTTTTTTCCACTTCACGGCTCTGGGAAGTAAAAAAAGGCAAAGCGAAACAGAACGGAAAAATATAATTAGCCTGCTAAAGTTTACGTAGTTCTTATCCTATAATTTTTGTTTTATAATTCACCGTTGTTAACTGCAAAGACATTACCGAAATGCTAAGCAATTAAAAAAATACGTATTTCTTCTCTATCAAATTTTGAATGACATTTAATAGTCTTACTTAAGTCCAAGAAAGAGCCAGAAAAGACCATTGCTTTTTCGAAGTTTTCTTTCCTCCGCTCTCCTTCCTGGTCCCTGGGAACGCAGAGTGACATTTTACTTCATTTAAATTTATACTGTTTAACACCCTTAGAATATGCGTCATTATCATACAGCATTTGTTGAAGCAAATTAGAATTCGCAGTTTGAAACTAGAGTTGGTTTTTTTCGCTTACAGGTTGTTCAAAAATAAGATTTTAACAGATTAAAGTTACCGTGATTTCTGCGATTGTATGCAATTTTCTTGTTCTCGTAACAGCTGATCGGTTCGCAACAAAAAGACATTATGATCAATAGAAACGGTTAAAAATTTTTTAAAATTGATCACGAAAAGCTTCTACTAGAGCATTATATAAAGATGGTAACTTATTCAGCTAAAAATTATAACTATAGGTAATTAGTTAAGTCTATTTCAAAGAAGAAAGTAGAATTAAAAATTATGAAGACTTGTTATGACAGCTTAAATAGCGTTGACAGTTGCACCTATATTTTTTGTGGCATTCATTTACCTTCTAAACTACTCAAATTTTCTTGTCTTTTTTTTATTTTTAAATTGAATATCTTTGGTCATCCTAGAATACCCAAAAAATGTGCTTTAAAAAAGGCGTCAGAATTCTCTTCAAAATTTTCTGCAAATGGTGGGCAGTTATTGTTAGAAACCGATGACGTCTATTTCAACGTTATCATTGATCTGACGTGTTTTTTTTTCACAAATTTTAACCAGACATCTTCTCACCATTTTTATTAATATTAATAGCTTAAAAACATTCTAGGGAAGAGTATTCCCGAAGAATTATAAGATATGTAAAATAAGCATTCATTTTTTCTGTTACTGAATAATGTAATTATAAGTAAACTCTTTAAAAAGACTGCTGCTCTATCTAATATTAAAGAACTTTTCTGGGGAAAGAAAAAAGAGACGATTATGTATTGGACATTAATGTAAATTAAAAACCCAATATTTAGCTAAATTTTCTCAATTTTCAAATATAATTTTAAAAAAAAATTAGTTGTGATGCAATAATGTTGAGGTTATTTTTAGACATTTACGAGCATTTTAACTAATTCATCTATTGCAGAAACAAAAAAAATATTTATTGACTTAAACCGTAGACGTTTAATTATACATATAACAGATGGTATAAATGCGCGCAAAGCTTGCAAAGATTTTAGAAGCAAAGCTCAGTTGCTTATGATACTTATTGAAGATGAAATAAATTTTTTTTTCCATAAACTATTTTAAGGTTTGAGAGTTTATTAGTACGCCAAAGGAAGAGGTGGAAACAAAAATCGTTGGCAGTCCAGTGGTGATTTGTTTGCTGCAACAGCTAATGCTTATGGCTGTAACTGTGCTCTGTCTAATGCTGCAATGCGGATTTAGGCAGGCTGTATTTACTCAAGCTATTTTCAGCTTTGTCTGCGTTCATGTTTTTTGGATATGGCATGGATTAACATTGCCAACTAGGCCAATTCTAATGGTTTAGTGTGCGGTATGTACTAAGGCAAGTGTTCATGTTTATGCATGTATGTATGTATGTGTGTGTGTGTGTGTGTCTGTGTATGTGTCTGTGTGTTTATAAGTGTGTGATCGAGTGTATTCTGGTAAATGTATGGCGCAGAGCACATAAACAGCAATGGGAAAGGCGTAAGGAGAGGAGAATAATAGTATTGATGGTCAGTCGCAAAACGACTAGTGGAAAATTAGTCAATAAAAAGGCTTTTTTGCCTGCAACATAGTGGCTTAGGCAGTTGGTAAAAGCTTAAAAGGGGCCTTTTGGAGTTTTTTTTTCTTTTGGAAGGATTTTTGATGTATATCAGTTATCCTTTCAATGTATTTATGTGTGTAATAAATTTGCTGAAGAAAATTTCACTCTAACGAAGCTGACACTTGAAGAAGACCAAAGAGGACAAAAAAAAAAAAAAAAAAAAAAAAAAAAAAAAA